GGGAGTGGGGGCTGGGAGCCAGGACTCCTGGGTTCTCTCCCTGGCTCTGGGAGGGGAGTGGGGGCTGGGAGCCAGGACTCCTGGGTTCCATCCCCGATTACTCCTTCTTGTTGTGTCTCCTTCCCGCAGTGCAGCCCAGCTCCGGGGTGCCCAACGGGCTGCGCTGCCGGTCGTGCTTTGCCCGCGGCTCGGACGTCTGTGTGCCCACCGAGGTGCTGAACTGCACGGGCCTGCAGACCCGCTGCATCCAATTTGCCGCCACCGCCGGCGCAGGTACCGGGGGCCGGGCTCTGCTGGGGGGGGGGGGAGGCGGGAGGTGAGGTTCAGCCGCATGTGTATTGGGGGGGGGCCCTTGTGCCTATGAGGGCTCATGCCCATGGGGTGGCTGTGGGCCTGTTCCCATGTCGTGGTTGGGGGGATATGTGGGGGGCTGATGCCTTTGTGGAAGTTGGGGGGCTGTGGAAGGGGGCTGGTGCCCAAAGGGCAGTTGGGGGGCTGGTGCTCCGGGCTGGGTGGGGGGATGTGTGGGGGACCGATCCCCATGGGGCAGGTGGGGAGCTGCGTGGGGGGCTGGTGCCCATGGGGCTTTTGGAGGGCTTTTGGGGGGTCCCTTGCGCCCCTAACCCTCTCCCCTCCCCCCCCAGGGTTCGAGGGTCTCCGCGTGGCCTTCATGGGCTGTGCCACCCGCAGCCTGTGTGACGTGGGCGCCGTGGCCCTGTTCGCCTCCCAGCCCCAGGCTGTGCTCAAGACCAACCTGTGCAGCGCGGCGGGGGCGGCCCGGGGGGGGCTGCCCCTCCTCAGCCTGGGGGGGCTGCTTCTCTGGGCGCTGCACCCCTGATTGCATCATCCCCCCTCTGCAGCACCCCCCTTTGGCGGGGAGCCCCCCCCGATCGCACTTTCCCCCCTATAGGGCTGGGAACTAGCCCCTTCCCCAGCAGTCGCTGCCTCCCGGTTATCCTCCCCCCAGCCCAGCACTGCCCCCCATCACCCCCCCAAAGCTGGGCACTGCCCCCTTAAATGCCACCTGCTACGCCCCTCCCCACCTGCCCCAGCGCCCCCCCGTCACTCCTCCCCCGACACAGTACTTCCCACAGCCCAATTCCTTGTCCTCTTCCCTGGGTTGGGTGGGAACCGGCGCCCCCCAGAGGGGACAGGCCCCTGCCCCATTCCCCACCCCCTGAGCCAGCCAGTCCCTGCCCTGGGGCTGGATGGGAGCCAGCACCCCCTGGAGGGGACAGGCCCCGTGTCTGTTCGCTGGTCGTGATTGCCAAACCCAGGGCTTGCAGGAGTTTCTTTTCCACCTGAGATCTGGGATCCGGGTTGATTTTCCGGTTTCATTCTGGTCTCACCAACCAGGCTCACGCGACGGGAACGGCCAGTTTGGGTCAAAAATGCCGTTGCAGAGTTTTATATAATAAAGTTGCAAATACGCACAAGTTTGTGTTTATACAGGGAGCCCTCGCCTGGCACTGGGACGCAGCCGCTCTGGGGTGGGGCACTGGGGCTGGTTATACGGGGACCCCTCCTGGCCTCCACAGATA